ATGCAGCCACCACAACCTCTCACTGTACTTAAAAAAAGAGGAAGACAAATTAGTACAAAAAAATGAAAGGCAAAATTCTGTAGATGGGAAAGGTGATATTTTAATTTGCAAAATCTCTAAATGTATGAGTGGTAAAGAGCAACTTATTATCTCAGAGTTCATTCACTCACACTTGTTTAGGAGTCTTCAGGTTTTATAGGTTGACCCTTCACCTCAGAATCTTGCTGATTTCAGCTTCCCTAAATATTAGGCCAGGTTGCTGCCCCTTTTTTTGACTCTCGTGTTTAGGATACATTCTTTTTTCTAGATGGACTAACAGGAAAAGGAACATTATTTGTGATGCATTTCACCCTCATCTTCCTCCCAGTGCTAGGATGCAGGACGATCTACCAACAAGTCATGCATGCTGAAGCCTTAGAAGAGTGCAGGCCTTGTAGTCATGACATAAAAAATGTGCACTCCAAAATTTTATGATGAGAACAATGCCCTTTGTTATCAAGAGCATCTATTTAAATTCTTTTGGCCCTTTGTTCCGCTGTTCCTTCCAGTGCTTATATATACATTTCCACTCACACTTCATTCATACAAGTATTTTAAGATTTTTGTTACAAATCTCTCTAGAAGAAGATAGACACTTGCACAAGCAATCTAGACAGAACACTAGTTTAATCAACACAAGCCCTGACCCAGAGATTTTCAGATACACTTTTTTCAGAAGCTGTCACTCACCACAAGGACCATGGCCAATTCTGGCTATTGTTTGTAGTTCCCCATCTTCAATTTTTACAATCTTCCCATCAGCTGTCCCAGTAAATAGCACATCTGCAAAAACAACCAGTGTGATTAGCTTGATCACAAAACCATAGTGGTAAACTTCCTTTTACATGATCCTTCTACTAGCATGAAATAGTATTCATAAGATACAGTCTTCTTCAGTCATAGCAAAAGAATAAGGAGGGAAGAGGAATAATATAATAATTTGGTTTGGAAAAGACCTTTAAGATAATAAAGTCAAACCATTAACTTAGCACACTGCCAAGTCCAGCACTAAATTATCTCCCTGAGCACAACATCTACATGTATTTTAAATACCTCCAGGGAAGGTACCTCCACCACTTCCTTGAACAGCCTGTTCCAATGCTTGACAACTCTTTCAAAGATTTTTTCCTAATATTCAATCTAAACCTCCTCTGGTACAATTTGAGGCTAATTCCTCTTGTTCTATTGCTTGTGACTTTGGGGAAGAGATTGACCACCACCTTGCTACAAACTCCTACAAGTAGAGAGCAATAAGGTCTCCTCTCAGCCTCCAGACCGAACAACCTCAGTTCCCTCAGCTGCTCCTCGTAAGACTTGTTCACTACACCCTTCACCAGCTTTGTTTCCCTTCTTTGGACACACCACAGCATCTCAATGTCCTTTGTAGCAAGGGGCCCAAAACTGAACACAATATTGAAGGCACAGTCTCACCAGTGCCAAGCACAGGAGAACAATCACTTCCCTAGTCCTGCTGGCCACACTACTTCCCACGCAAGTCAGGATACTGTTGGTCTTCTTGGCCACCTGGGCACACTGCTGGGTCATATGCAGCTGGCTGTCAACCAACACCCCCAGGTCCCTTTCCTCTGGGCAGCTTTCCAGCCACTCTTCCCCAAGCCTATAGCACTACCTGGGGTTGTTGTGGCTCAGGTGCAGGACCTGGCACTGAGCCTTGTTGAACCTCAAACAATTGACCTTGGCCCATCAATCCAGCCTGTCCAGAACTCTCTGCAGAGCTTTCCTACTCTCAAGCAGATCAATACTCCCACCCAACTCGGTGTCATCTGCAAACTTACTGAGGGTGCACTCAAACCCCTCATCCAGATCACTGATAAAAATATTAAAAACTACTGGCCCAAATACTGAGCCCTGGGGAACACCACTTGTGACCAGTTGCCAACTGGATTTAACTCCATCTACCACAACCCTTCAGGTCCACCCATTTTTTTACCAATGAAGAGCACACTCGTCGAAGCCATAAGCAGCCAGTTTCTCCAGCAGAATGCTGTGGGGAACTGTGTCAAAGACTTACTAAGTTCTAGGTAAACAACATCCAAAGCCTTTCCCTCATCCACTTAGCAGGTCATCTTGTCATAGAAGGAGACGAGGCTTGTCAAGCAGGACCTTGGTTTTCATAAACCCATGGTGACTGGGACTGATTGCTTTGTTGTCCTGCATGGCATTCAGGATGATCTGTTCCCTAACCTTCCCCAGCACTGAGGTCAGGTTGATGGGCCTGTAGTTCCCCAAATCCTCCTTCCGGGGCCCTTCTTGTATATAGGTATCTTATTTGCCAATCTCCAGTCTACTGGGACCTCCCCAGTTAGCCAAGACTGCTGATAAATGATACAAAGTGCCTTGGTGAGCAGTTCTATCAGCTCCCTCAGTACCCTAGGGTGGATCCCATCCAGCTCCATAGATGGGTGTGTTATGTGTGAGTTAGTGGTGCAGCAGGTCACTAAACATTTCCCCTTGGATTATGGGGGCTTCATTCTGCTCCCTATCCCTGTCTCCCAGCTCAGGGAGCTGGGTACCTGGGTAAATGGTCTTACTATTAAAGACTGAAGCAAAGAAGGCACTAGGTACCTCAGCCTTTATCTTATCCTTTGTCACTATGTTTCATCCTATGTCAATAAAAGATGGAGATTCTCCTTAGCTCTTCTCTTGTTGCTAATGTATTTATAGAAACATTTATTGTCTTGTAGTTGAGCTTTGGCCTTTCTGGTTTTCTCCCTGCATAGTGTAGTGACATTTTTGTAGTCCCCCTGAGTTGCTTGCTGCTTCTTTTAAAGGCCATAAACTCTCTTTTCTTTTCCTGAGTTCCAGCCACAGCTCTCTATTCAGCCAGGCCTGTCTTCTTCCCTGCTGGCTCCTTTTTTGGCACAGAGGGATGGCCTGTTCCTCCACCTTTAAGATTTCCTTCTTAAAGAGTGTCCAGCCTTCCTGGACCCCTTTGCCCTTCAGGACTGTCTTCCAAAGGATTCTGTCAACCTGTCTCCTAAACAGGCCTGTCTGCCCTCCCGAAGACCAAGGTGGCAGTTCTGCTACTCCCCCTCCTTACTTCTTCATTAATCTAAAGCCCTTGTATTTCAATATCACTCTGCCCAAGACAAGTTCCAGCCACCACACCACCCACAAGTCCTTCTCTGTTCACAGGCAACAGGTCCAGTAGCAGGGGACCTTTCCTAGCCAGCTCACTCACTGACTGTGCCAGGAAGTTATTTTCCACACTCTCCAAGAACCTTCAAACTGTTACCTCTCTAGTGTGTTGTATTTCCAGCAGACATCTAATTAAGTTCAAGTCCCCCACAAGAACAAGGGCTAGCAAACATGAGATTTCTCCCAGCTACTTACAGAATATTTAGTCTGCCTCTTCATCCTGGTTGGGTGGTCTATAACAGACTCCCATCATGATATCTGACTTAATGGCCTTGCCCATGATTCTTACCTGTAAACGCTCAACTCTATTGTATCATTAAACTCTAGACAATCAAAAAACTCCCTAACACACAGGGCCACCACCCTGCCTCTCCTGCCTTGCCTATCTCTTCTGAAGGGTCTGCAGCCACCTATTGCAGCACTTCAGTTGTGCGAGTCATCCCACCAACTCTCTGTGACAGCAACTATATCATAGATTTCTTGCTGCACAATGGCTTACAGCTCCTCCTGTTTGCTGCCCATGCTGTATGCATTGGTGTTAGATGCACTTCAGCTGGGCTACGCATCTGGCCACCTTTCTGGAGGAAGAAGCCCATGACCTTTCTCAGGTGATTCCATGGTTTCTAACCGAACATAACCCTTGGGTCTTTGCTGCTACACATTTCCATCTTCTGCCTCTACTGAGACAGTAGACCAAAGGACCTCACCAGCACACCACCCCACAAACACTGGCATGCCGTCCCTAGGCTTATCTCTAGCGAACCTGGTTTTATCACCTTCCCACTTCATATCTAGTTTAAAGCTCGAATGATAAGCCCTGCTAACTCCTGTGCAAAAATCCTTTCCCCTTTTGAGACAAGAGTATCCTGTCTGTCGCCAATAGGCCTGGAAAGACGAAAGCAAATAAGAGTATTTGGTTAGATAACTTCCAACTCAAAAAGAAGGGGAAGAACTGAAGCCTTAAGAGTTATGAATATGGCATAGGAAGTTTTTCACCCGTAAGTGGTCCAAATCATTGGTTAAAGGTGAACATAACAACTTAGTGGCTAGTAATTGGATTGATCACTCTGGGCAAATTTCTACATCATCATAAAATGTGATCAGGCACTTCCATTCACTTTACCACTCTTCAATGAGAGACTGACTAGATAAAACTTCTCATTGTGATCAAGTCCATCCAGGCTGCTGGGCACCTGCCAATGCCCATATTGTATCAGTTCTGGAGAAGAATTACAAAAACCAAATGTATTGAACTACTCAAATCAAAAAGCCTTGCCAAAACACTGTGTTCACACTAGGCCACGTAATAGCATAAGATAGATTCACTGAATATATAGAACACACAAACTTTTCCATTCAACCAAATGAAATGAAAGACCATTGGATTAGTAGAGCCCATTTCTTGTACTTTTCCATATCCAACGTAACTGAAGTTTTAAGTTTGCTAATTGCTTTTTAAAAGGGAATGAGAAGACCTGAACATTCATTCATACAAAACTTATTCCCAGTCAGGTTAATTATTTCACCCATATGTCAGTTGTCCCCTGCAGGAAGTTTTCCTTAAAGATTTTCCAATGAGATTGACAAAACTGGGTAACAAAAAGGAATCAGTGGCTTCAGGTTATCACTTTAGCACATTGTTAACAGAGATAGGTAGAAAAAGCATAATCTATAGAAGAAATTTACAGCAGTTTCTTGCTGAGTAAAATAAACGTTTTTAAATGTTTTGATAATTTACTAGAAGACACAGCAGAAGTAAAACAAATGGTATGGCATCCTGTACCAAAGGATTTTTCAGTAAGGGCCTTACTTGCAACTCCCACACCATTTCCTTTTCACGTATTTTCTTAATCCTCTTCACAAGGCACAGTGAATAATCCCTACACAAACCTGTGTGTATCAAGCCATTACAAGTCTAGACACCTTCATTAAGAAACTGCTCAGAGGTGTCATGGGTTTGTGATTTGAGAACAACAAAGGTGCCACAGGAGAGAAGTATAGGATGGCACATGCAATGCATGCATGAGCACTAAAATGTAAATATTCTATTTATAATCAATTTGAGATTTTTCTTCTGTCATATAAGCAAAAATTACCACCACAAAACTCAGAACCCCCAGAGGCAATGAGCATTAAAAGAATAAGTAGTACCTTGTAAAATATTTATTCCCAGTTAACAGCTAGCCAACTGAATAATAGGACAACTTCCTCCAAACATAAGTAGTCCCTGACTACATTGCTGATGCTTTCAGTCCTGCAAGACAGGAATTTTTAATCTGGCAACAAAATTTACTGGGGAAAAGGAGGAAAGCAGTATACAGCAGCCAAGTTTTGCTGCGTAAGACAATTTTTATTTTTTTTTAAAGCATATATTCAAAAGGGCTTGGAGTTTGTTATCTAAGAGCTATATTGCTGAACAAATGGAGCAATATTGAAAGAGCTTGTTTGAAAGGTTATTTTGTCAGTGCTTACCCCCAATATTGACAATGGACTCTGGTCCGACCAGCTGATTTTCCCATAACCGCTCAGCTTTTCGTAACTTGGTATTGGGCTCTAACACACCTGTCAGGAGGGGAGGTTCCTTAAAACTGCAAAACAGAACACAGGCCTTATGACCCTTTTGCACAAACCTGCAAACACTCTTGAGTAACACACTGTGATTTGTGATTTTTTCCTGTTTTGCCAACTCCTGCAAACCTGACCTATGATTTACATATAATGTATTACAAAAAAGAAAACATAGATGACAAGCTGAAAAATTTACTCTCGTTCATCAGATTTTCTTGTTCTGTTGATCAGAAAAGTTGCAGTTATGTGTTCCTAAGAAGTGTCTGGAAATCTATACAGCTTCAAGTCCAACATGTTCTCAGCTCATCTGTCTTACACAAAAGATTTCTGCATTGTCACAACACAAAAGAATAACTGCTTTCTTACTCAGCTGAATGAGTTGCTTGTACCAGAATATTTTTCTTTTAGAGAAAAGCGAACTCAAAGGATTAAGTTGCACATTAAATTTAAAGGTTATTGAACTAAAATCTCAAAATGACAAAGGTCCAATCTCATAAGCCCTTGTTCAGAGAAATAGCCAGGTTCAAGCCAACTAGAGCTACAACCAACTACAGATAAACAGAAGATAAACAGAAGGGAAGCAGTAAGATGCCTACACAGCTTCAACTTAAATACCAGACTCCAAAACACTGTGCTGACAAACTCAAATATGTTTCAGTGTCATAGATTCTTAAAAACACATACATAAGTCGCCTTGATCTCCATGAGTTAAGGATTTCAAGTTATTACTGAAAGCTCATATTGGCAAGCCTTTAGAGTACTACTCCACCACACCAACAGTTTATTTTAGCTCTAGAGATATTTACAGTGTTGTTGTAGCCTTTCATTAAGGAATTATTCAGCTGATCATAAGTATTTAGCAGACTGAGCATTTTCACTTACCTCAAAACGCCAGGAGCACTGAAGAGCCTGACTCCACCCTACATAAGCAATCCAAGCATTTCACACCCAACTTTTCCCAGCACAGGTTACATCTTCTCATGTCACCGATGCACTGTTAACACTACTCTTCTTATACAGACCCTAATTCAGATGTTTATGAATTCAGACACAGCAGAAATCACCTAGCTGCATTGCTTTATGTGATCCACATTTAAATATAATGTCACCACATGGTTTCTCTGGTACAAAGCATCCTATCAACCCTGTGAGGTTATCCATTTCCATCCTCAGATCAACAGTCTCTCTTTGACAGAACCATAAAAGCAGGGATACAGCTTGGTCCTTAGTGAAAATGCAGTTCTTGTCACAACAGGCAAGACTGCACAGAAGTAATCACGAGCTCTACTGACAGCCTGAACACCAGAAAATAATTATCTAGAGTAATGATCAGAGAAAGTAATTCAGCTCCTTCAATGATCAGTACTGACACACAACTGCACGAGTTGGCTCAGAAACAGCCTAGGTATGTGAAGCAAGCCATGGCAATGGATAATACTGCAATAACTCCCCAGTTTCTTAATCCAGCTACAACCACTTTACAGAGTTGACTTGTTTGCTAAAAAAAAACAACCAAACAAAAAAAAACCCCAACAAACCCAAACAACAGAACACATGTGAGAAGTTTAGCTTCAGTAACAGTTATTTCAAAACAAAGCAACAAGTTACCTTATAGGCTGAGGGTCTATAGGACAATCCAACAGAACAGTCACTCCAAGCAAGGGCACAGTTAGAGATGCAGCCAAAGTCAAGAAGGTAACACGAAACACCTTGCTGCTGTAAGTACTGTGCAAATCAGACAAGAAATAGGATTAACATGCTAAGATGTTTTAAGATGCAAGTCTTGAAGAATTCTTTAACAGCCGATTTTCATCACAAAACGAACTAGAAATACTTTTGCCCAACCACTGCCCTGAATGACCTTTATGGTCCATTTTGAAGTTATTAAGATAAGACAAAGGGATATTTATCCATTCATAGCATGCTAGAATCATATGAGGCCATTTAAAATAAAAATAATTTTAAAAAATGGGAGGGAAGTGATGTTGCTTGGTTGGATTTTTTTTTTAACTTGATCTTCCCTTACTTTTCGCAATGGTTTGGATGAAAAGTTCAACCAAAACAACAAACATTAGAGGAAGTTAAATGAATGCTTCCTTAACTTAGTGAACATTGGATTGAAACTTAAGACCCAGTGCACAAAATAAATTAAGTAACTTCCATTATCCATCAAAACACACAACCAAAAAGTAAAAACTGTGCTTCCACCGGAGAAAAACAGGTTTTGTTCTTAACAAGTTTAGAGGCATCAGTCATTCAGAGAGGAAAGGAAAGAGCCATACTCAACAAATCCTAGTCTTGAACTGGAAAAGCAGCTCCTATAATTTTAGCTGCTCTGAACCATTCACTGGCACAGCCAGCCAGTTTCCTTGCAGTATCAACTAAATAAAGGCAAACAGTGCCTTACGGTTCTGCATTAATTCTTGGATCACTTCCACTGTTTTGTCCTTCATTAGCCAATCATCCAGACAGCAGGAAATATGAGCTGCTGCCCAGAGCACAAATATCACAACTGGGGAGGTAATGACGTGTACTTGTAGTATTGATAACAGTAATAACATCAATAATATCAAAATAACATCAAGGTAATCTTTGGGATCACCAGCTGGAACAGCAAGGAGAGAACTAGGCCTGGATTTGGGCTGCCTGCATGCACAATGTCCAGAAGTTGGAACGTTCATGATCCATTGCAGCTCTTTCCTGATGGCACAACTGCTGCCAGCCCCTCTCTTCCAGCAGCTGACACAGGCAGTCAGGGTGGAAGCCTGCACCAGTTTCCCCAGCTTGCACAACACCCAACAGGCTGCCACATGACACCGTGCAAATCACCAAGCTGTGCCAATGTGACTGCTACAAGGATGTTGACAGCCTGCCATGACAAAAGTTGCTACTGCTGCCAGCCCAAAGCCACAGACAGTTCAGCCTGCTCCAAGAAGTGCTGTTACCACTGCTGCTGTTGGTCACCAAACTTTCCCCTGCTCCCCCAAGACACTCACCACCTGAGTCTGCTTCCTTTCCATCAGCACGTCCACTCCTGCTTTCAGACATATTATAGAAACAAATTTTGTTCCTCACACTCAAGGGCACAGCATTCCCATCATGAACTTCAGCAGTGTTGCAGCACTAAGCATGTCTCCCATCTGGGCTGGACCAGGCTGAGAAACTGCTTCAAATTAGCATTCTCATCTGCACTGACCTCTTCACAGGTTCCAAGAACCAGACTGCCCTCGTAATTAAATAGAAGAAATCCTGCTTAAATAGTAGACAGCTTCAGGAAGCAACAACTCACCATCTTTTTTCCCCTTGGATTGGGAATGGTGGTAGGATACAAGTTGGTCCCTAAGTTTACACAAAGACTTCAGCTGTCAGCCTTGTCTTTCCACTGTCCTTCACAAGATGAAGGCTTAATACTCTAAGATTAGAAGTACTGTCAGCAGACACCTGAGCATCTTTTGACAGCTGAGAACTGCTCACACAAAAGGAAGCAGATAAAGATGGATGGGAACTCATCTGCCAAAGCAGACTTAATTAAAGTTCTTGAAAGCATGATTTAAGTAAAGGTCACATTTCTGATCCTCATTCAAACTTGCAAGGAATTGACAATAAAGGAAAAGGCAGGAAGAACGAGATGACAAGCAAATCCAAATTTCAAGCCTGCAAACTGCAAGACCTATTTTAGACACTGATAAAAGCACAAGAATTTAAATTAAACCTAAAAACTTGGAAGAAAAAATTAAAAAAAAATAAAAAGTGAGGTGCTTAGAATGTTTATAAAAGTTAACAAACAAAACATACCCAACACAGAATACAGAGAACTCTAAGTTACTGACTAGTCACTGGAAAGAATCACTGAAGTAATGGTTCATCAGCTCTGATAAGCAAAACAGAAATCCTTAGCTAATTGTCTCTGATAATTAATCCTACATGGACTCCAGTCACAGATCTCAATAATGCAGCTTACCAGGACTTCAGCTACAATAGCAGTCACTTAGTTATCATTAAGAACTAAAAAGAGAAGCCATTGCACCAGGTTTGGAAGACACCCAGCATGTATCCTTGCTGAAGCCCTAGAAATGTAATGTATTTGAGCAAAGTTACCAAGAGAGGCCTGAAGCCAGGAAAAGCAGCCACTCAAGCTGTCCTTCAAAAACAGGGGCTAAGAATCTAAGAACGCAGGCATTGAACAGACTCATTCCATTCCATTCCATGGCCCTGAAGGACAGATAAGAATCTGCAAGGTACTCAGACTGGAAGAGACATAACAGATGGAGAACCAAAGGATTTACAAATCATCGACTACTCGATTCAGTGGAAGGCAAACACCACCACTGTCTTACTGCAGCTATTGCCTTTAGTTGAAGTGAAACCAATTCGTGATCAAAATCCTAAACAGCAGATTTAAAATGGAATCTTCTTTAACTTAACCAGAAATAACTGGCTTATTTAAAAGCTTATTCCATCTCAGAAACACAAAGGCTAGTCTTTAAACTGCAGGTCACTCCTGAAACTGCTGCCGAGCAAAAAGAGTCACGCAGGGTTAGGCAGGACTCGATGACACTCACAAAAAGCCAGTGCAAGCAACGATGGGGTAACTGTGGTTTCGTCATGGGCAGGGGATAAACAGTACTTAAAAGGGATCAATTAGGGAAAAAAAAATCCAAACAAACAAAAACAAAACCACACACACAACAACACAAAAAAGGGTTTGTTTTGTTTTGGGTTTTTTTTTTTTTGTGGGTTTTGTGTGTGTGTGTGTGTGTTGTTTTTTTGTTGTTTTGATTGTTGTTTGTTGGGCAGTGCAGCCTCTCCCGGCCCCGCACACTCCCCGTGCCCTCGGGCCGGGCCCAACCACCACCTCACAGCCCCAGGTCAGGCCGGACCCCGCAACCAACCCTCCAACCCAACACCCAAACAACCACACAACCACGATCCCTCCTCCTCGGCTCACCGGCTACAGCGGCTCCTTCCCTGCGGGTCAAGCCCAACACCCCTCGCACCGCCCAGACCCGGCCCTG